GCAGTCGGCAAAGAGGCGTTTTCCTGTAGTGCATGCTCCTAAGTTTGTTCTCAATTCAGCTGTACTCTGAACGACATCTTGGAACTCAATTAGCTTGGATGCCTCATTGGGTACAACCTGAAAACACATAATTAAAGCATCAGTCAGAAACTACCTGAAACAGCAACAACCGGCTTGCAATGCAAATGTCTACAGAAAAGAAAACTTAAACGAGGAAGTTCATAGAACCCTAAGTTTCTTGTAGCCAATAAGGATAGTTTGTAAGTTAGCTCATATCACTCTGTTCTTTTTCAATAAATTTGATTCTTCCCATCATGAACTACAAAGATATATTTGACTCAAGATTTCAATTGGTGATACGTTTGATAATACAAAGTGCGAATTAGAGGGATAACATATTTTCTAGTTATTCTACATATATGTTTTCTGAACCGAGCCATAGCTAGGTTGGTACTGTGGTATATACTACATACGTCCTGAAAAGGATGCAATTATAGGGGGTTTTCTAGAATGACGCAGGAGAGCTGCATGTCATTTCATTAAGCAAAGAGAGAAAGTACAAAGCAGGGCAGAGCCTACTCCCCAAAACACTCCATATTAAGAAAACCCGTATCTAAAGTTTGTCTTTACTCAAACTATCTAAATTTTGACCAAGTTTATAGAAAATAGTGTCAACATTTATGACACCAAATAGGTATATACCATGAAAATATATTCCATGACGAATCTAATGACACTTATTTGGTATAAAATAATATATATTGATACTTTTGTGTATAGAGTTGGTCAAACCAAAATGATTTGACTCGGTATTATGCTAGAATTGCATTCTTTTCAAGACGGAGGAAGTAAGTCAAGTCCAATTAATGAGAATATAATTAACAAAACTAACTTCACTAGATCATTATAGAGTGTACTTATAGAATTATACCATGAAAATGTCTACAAACAAGAAAAGAAGAAAACTGAAAATAGGAAGCTCATCGAATCCCAAAGTTGTTTGTAGTAAGGATAGTAACTAAGTTTAGCTCACTTTGTTCCTTTTTCTATCAAATATGATTCTTCCTATTGCAGGACTCAAGTCAAATATGATACTATAACCAAATTAGAGGGTCAACATAACATGAGCTTTAGTGATCTATATACATATTTTGTAACATCACATAGAGCTCACTACAGCAATTGGAAGCATATACACAGGCCGATGGCTGCAAAATCAAAACAAACCATATCGTTGCAGTTGAACCATTCAAAGGATTAATTTATATAGCAAAAGAAAGATTCACAGTTCAATTAACAGTAAACAAAGAACCTATACTTGCTGGAAAGCCCCATATGTTCTAGCAGAAGTAGATGCTTGATGAAGATAATGCAAGTTAAGATATAATAGTTTTGTCTCGTATTATAGACACTAGACAGCAAAACTAATCATCCACAATGATAGGACTGTAGCTGATGAGATATGAGCACTAAAAGGGCTTCTCATGAAAAGAACCACAGGAAATCAAGCAGTTCTTGAGTTCCGTTCCTCTGGTAAATCAGGAAGAACCATAGCTTGGAGAGAAAGTGTGTGATAACCAGATCAGAAATTCTTGGCCAGGTTAACTTTGCAAAAGACTGAACCCACTTGCTATTTTCCACGCAAATGAATTTGCACACAAACTTGATGACATCAATTATTCTTGAGTACAGACTTGAACCATTTTGTCCTTTAACAGTAAAAACCAGTTATGTAAGGCAAACAAGAAGCAAGTTTACTTAATCTGCAGAAAGTAAATCAGGAAATAAAACTAATTACGGATTGTGGTTCCAGATGAACAAATATCTAATTCCCCTGCTCAATATTGCTAAAAAAACAAAATATAATATTTACTGATTGAATTGTTTCTTAAAATGAAGATATACATTCAGCACATATATAGTAATGTGTTGAAAAACTATGGCAAAGGCACACAGCTGACAACGAACTGGGTCAAGGTAGCCCCTGAAAACAGAAAGTTATTACTTAGAATAAATGTATTGACAAACAATTTTCTTTAGAAATCAGGAAACACGATGAAAGCCTTACTTTTATTTCCTCAGAAGGGACTACACTCAAGACTGATACAGAGTGTTCTGGACCACCGTCCTCAAGAACTTCTACAGAAACCGTGACCTGTATGTTACTGATTGCTGGAACCAGAATATGTTTCATCAAGTCTGCAATTTTTGCCATCCCATAGCCTAGGGCAACAATAGTCTGCGAAACAAAGAAATGAAAAGATTATACATTTGGAGAAGTACAATGTTATCATATAATGTGGATCAACACTGGAAGCAACTGCCATCTCAGAAAAAGCCTAGAAGAAAGCGTCTATAGTCTGGGCCTTAAGTAACCTACGTTAGAGATACAGAACTACAGAAGTAAGGCATAAATAGAAATTAGTTGCATTTAAGGATCAATGTTTTAAACAGGGAGCTAAGGTATTTAGCGGTATATCTCTAACATAGCTAATAGCGGAGCTATATCGGGCTATAGCAGGATATAGCGGCTAAATTGTACATGAACTCAAATAGCGGCACCCTGCCTCAAGAGCTATAGTGGGCTATAGTGGCAGCTATAGCGGGAGATTTAAAACTATGTTAACGATATATGCTCCCATCAATTACTTGTTTGTTGTCAGCAAACTCCTCTGTTTACAGGAGAGGAAATTATCAATAAATGGCTAACTTCGATTGATATTTAGATCCTTCTTGCTCTCTGAGAAACATAGGTCTACCCAACCTAGCCATGACACCGCCTTCTCCACAAGCTACCCCTCCAAGGTGCACAACATCGCCCTACCATCTACTCCTTCCAATTCAAAATACTTGTTGCTTTAGCCTCTTTTACTATCTTCAAAATACGTGCTGTACAGTTTTGAGGTAAATTTGACTCATTTTTTTCCTATCTTATGCATCTTTAATTCCTTCATTGACTAGTATGGGGAAGAGTGAGCGTCAAAGGTGTGCTTTTGGAATAATAAATGACCACTTTATAGAGGATTAAACATTGGTAGGATGGTCATTTCATTGACCTCCTTAGTTCCCATGCAAAAGTTAAAACAACAAGTATTTTCAGTTTCAATCTAGTCCACACTCCGCAACATATCAAAGAAGATAGCATATGAACTCAGGGAGCTGGTGCCTGGTGGAGCTTCTAGTGTCATAGATATCTTTTTTCCCAAAGTTGTCGCAATTTTAGCTGCCAAAGGATTACATCAGTGTCTGAAATGTCCAGCACAACAGCCCACAAGGCCAAAATCCTTGAACAACAGCTATCTTCAACAACAATTGTATTCATCGTTTCTATAGCAATGCAGCTTAAATTATGTACAGCTTATGTTCCACTCAGTTTCCATCAAAAGCTCCCAAGTATGTTCCATTACCAATTGTATATTTTGTTTACAAGTTAGAATGGTCAAATTTACTGGAGCAGTCAAGCTGTGATGCAGAAGTACCAACTGGATTTTCTCAGTAAAACTCACCTCCAATGCCTGCAGGGCAACATGAAGCTCAACACCATAACTTCCACCAGAGTGGTGTCTCGGAGTAACCCTCACCACCACCTTACCTCCCTCTGGCGCAAATTCCGCACACTCCTCCACATTCTTTGCAAGCCCCACTTGCAGCGAGAAAATTGCAATTATAGGACACCAAACAATACGCTTCGTAATTATATGACTCCAATCGTCGACTTCGTTAAAATGACCCTGACATTTGGCGTATTTCTTCACTTTGTTAATCAAAATACATGTATTTTGGCCCTCTTGTGACCCTTCTGCCCTACTCGGATATTCCTCACTCGCTTCCTCAGCTCCATCCCTCGCCGCACCGGCGCTTTGCTGCCGTCGTTTGCTCCTTCCGTGATATGGGCCAAATTTACAGGCTGAATGCAAATACGATAAATCGCAAGTGAAACACCAAGCACAGCTACGAGGAATTGTTTACCTCTTTCACCTCGGCCTCCGTGATATGGCCATCAGCGTTCTTATCCACCCTGATTAAAATGATCATATATACATATAGAAAAAAAACGAAGACACATTAATAAAACTGAACAACTGATGTGTTCATGCGAGAACTGCAGCAGGCGGTGCGAGGAGGTCCGGCGCATCGTGGGCGAGCGCGACCGCGACGGCGCCGCGGACGACGACGGGGTCGGGTCCGGGTGGCGGCGGGGCGGAGCCGCCGCCGTCGGCTCGACGCTCTGCAGCACAATGTTGTCATCCTCGAGGAGGTCCAGCGTGACCTCGACCAGCTCCTCCCTGTTGTCGGAGCTCCGATCGGAGCCGCGCGGCGAGGGACGGAGAAGCCGCCGTGTGTGCTGGTGTCGGAGGCCGTGAGCGTCTTGTAGAACATGTGCGGCGTCCGTGCGAGCGGCTTCATGGCGGCCCCGTCCTCGCCGTCGCGACCTGCGTCATCCTCCTCCTCCACGGTGTTGAGGTCAATGCCCGCCATGGCCCAGGTCGGCCGCCGCAGCTGGCTCCACGGAAGGAGCAGACGACGGCAGCAAAGCGCTGGTGCGGCGAGGGATGGAGCTGAGGAAGCGAGTGAGGAGTATCCGAGTAGGGCAGAGGAGTCACAAGAGGGCCAAAATACATGTATTTTGATTAACAAAGTGAAAAAATACGCCAAATGTCATCTAAAATAAGAAGCCAACGTTTCAAGGGTCATTTTAACAAAGTCGACGATTGGAGTCCTATAATTATGAAGCGCATTATTTGGTGTCATATAATTGCAATTTTCTCCACTTGCAGCTGTATCACCATCATAACCACAACCCAACAACAACAATTAGCACAAATGCAAACCCTGACATAAGCCGAGTCATTCTAAAGCGGAATTTCCTCGTCACCTCGTCGACAAGTTGCTGCCAGTCCCTCCTAAGGAGCCCAAATACGACCAGCTCATCTTGACCATATTCAGATCGCTCGGGATCGATCAGGAGGGTCTTGAGTTCAGCGACGGCAGCGGCTGTGTCAAGGGGGGCTTGCTGCGGCACGGGCCTCGCGGAGGCGAGCGGCGAGCGAAGCAATTGTGGAGGCAGCGGCGAGGTGCTCCTGGAGCTCGTTGAGCTCGCGGCGGGCGGCGAGGAGGCGGTCGGCAAGGGCCCTGAGGTCGGAGAGGTCGAGCGAGGAGGCGAGCGGGGCAAGCGTGGAGTCAAGGGAGGACTCGAGGGAGGTGGAGGAATCGGCGGCGGAGGCTGCACGGAGGAGCGCGTTGGCGAGGGCCCCGCGGTTAGAGGCAGCGAAGGAGAGGGCCGAGGCGTGCAGGCGGTCGGAGCGGAGGCGTAGGTGGTCGATGAGGAGGCGGAGGTCGGGCGCTAAGAGGGTCGTGGACGGGTCAGAGGCGTCGGCTGTGGTGGAGACGAGGAGCTCGCGCACGTCGTCGGCTGCCATCACCGTCGGCGGCGAGGGGTGCTCGGCGGCGGCACACGGATCCGGACGGGCTTGGTTTGCTGACTTGAGCGACTGCGTTGCGGGAAGGAATTGAGCTCGTGTTGAGATCTGTATTTCGTCGGATTTACCGTATTACCCCTAACCATTTCGGTTCTTTCTAAGTTCAGTCTTTGGATCTCTTCGTTTTGGAGCCATTGAATTCTACGTAATAGATTAGGTTATTTGACTTAGTATTTGACATTCCATAACTTTTTAAGCTTACAAATAAGCCTATCTTAAATTTATAGGGTGGGAGATAGAAATAGATTCTATAAATCACTATGCTATAATTCTATTCTCCAACTTATATCACATTCTCTAACTCACTTTCCTACAATAGAAATGTAATATGTCTTTTGTACGTCTAACAATAAATATACAAATATATTTCATATACAACTATATTAGCTTAAATTTGCTTTCAAGTTCAGTCTTTTAGATTTTGGCTAGAGAATTCAATTTTCAAGTTCAGACTTGCTTTAAGACTGGAGCAGACTAGCAACATGGCGTGGGGCAATATGTTCATTTTATTATGAGGTGGGTTATTAAAGTAAAACCAATTCGCTTTGGACGAACATTTTAGTCCATTGTTACTCTAGTTGATATCTCTAGTTTTTTTTAGCAAAAGTTGATATCTCTAGTTAGCAAAAGAGTAAAATGCACCACGAGTCCATTAACATTTGGAGGGGTGTAATTTGGGTCCATCAATTTTCAAAGTGCATTTTCGGGTCCCTAAATTTTTTATGCTGTGCACTGCAGGTCCATAACCGTTCGGTTGCTTGGTAATTTTTCATTAAACCCCTTCAATTCAATAACTCTATCACAAAATAGCCCTCATTAGAACTGGAGCAGGCGTCGACGTCGGCAGCCACCATCGCTCAGTGAGCGTTCGGGGCCAGCGACGCCACCGTGTTAGGCGCCCAGGCCAACAACGCCACGGCGCTGCAGGCGAGCAGGCTGGTGCCCTTGCGGGGCCAGCCATGCCACCCCCCGCGTGAGTGAGCGGGCAGGTGGGCGGCTGCGAAGCCACATCGCCGCTGGGCAGGCGGCAACCACACGTCGCCGCTGAGCATGCACGTGGATGCCCCGAGCAGTGCCTTCATGTTCCGCTTGGCGCCTTCGTCATGTCGTCGTGCAGCGCTGCCTCGAGCACATTCCGCATCGCCTCTGCCTCGCGCACCTCTGCTTCGCGTTCTTCATCGTGTTCTGCAGCCACGACGTCACCCAATCACGAGTGTCCTCCTGACCGCTAGCACGGCAGTGCCGTGGCTGGCCTACGTGGCCACCCGCCCACTTGTGTGGCGGCAGCGTGGCGCGGGCGCCTGTCCGCTCCCATGGCGTTGTTGGCCTGGCGCGGAGGCGTGGCTGGCCTACGACCGCCTACACGCTCGCTGAGGGACAGCGTGGCTGCTGGCGCTGACGCCTGCTCCTGTTCTCCGTGAAGGCTATTTTGAGACAGAGTTATTGAAGTGAAAAGGGTTCAATGAAAAATTACCAAGCGCACGAATGGTTATAGACATGCAATGCACAACATAAAAAGTTTAGGGATCCAAAAATGCACTTTAAAAGTTGATGGACCTAGATGACACTCCTCCAAAGGTTAATGGACCTATGATGCATTTTACTCTTAAAAAAATTTAGGCCTTGTTCACTAAGGATTAAAACAGTTTCATATACATCTGCACCTGTATTGTTGACAAGAGTTAGCTTGCTCGGCAGCACTGCTCGCAGCCCTATCACTGCGGCTTATACTGTTCATGCTACAAATAAGCCGCAGCCGCAGGACCACAGTATGTTTTTCTCCACCTCAAATGAACTAGGATCCAATGAATAAGATTAGTTAACAATTTAGTTCATCTCGTTAGGGCTTGTTAAGTTAATTAATGTTCTAGTCCCGGTTGGCCTGTTAAGGAAACAACCTAAAAAATCTATATCTTTGTTAGCAACATTATTTCTTGATGAGATTTAATAATCGTTAAAAAAATTATGTGCAAAATGTTTAAGTTTACTTGGCATATATATATATATATATATATATATATATATATATATATATATATATATATATATATATTTATGATTTATTTTTTATATGTTTGTTGCATGGTATATTTATATGGGGTTCTATATTTATTAGGATGGTTTTTTAGTTTTTTTAGTTACAATGAATGGCGGCAGACTTCCCCAGCCACAGGAACCAGGTTTCCACCCTGACGATCTTCCATTCGCGCCATCGCCAGATAGGGCCGTTCCGTGTCACCCAGACCCATCAACAGTATGGAATATTTTAAGTTTTGCGTGCTAATATAATTTTTGCATATATACATTCATTCATAGCATGATTGTTGCATATGTCACAGACTATAAAACCGGTCAAGTGGCTGGAATCAACACTATGGCTACTCGGGGTGTGGGACATCTTCGAGACGACGACAAGTGTGGTCGTGAATGATGAAGGAGTCGAGTTATGGACGTGTAGTCTCGCCTTTGACATCCCCACTAGGTACAATAATGAGGTGCACCAGGACATCGTGCAGACTGGACCACAGTCGTCGACCAAGATAGGCACCCAAATTGATGGCGTGCTGCTTTCTTTGCAGGCAATTGAGCGAATTGACTACCGTATGCCTGAATTCTCATCCTTGAAGATAGAAGCTTTACGTCAGCATAGTCTAGATGTGCCGTGAGTAAGCGAGAGGCATGCGATATTCAACCAAATAGATATGGTATGTCATGTATGATATGAGAGTATTGTTTATTTATTCTTATTATTATATGAGGGCTTCCTGATATTTTTTGTTTGTCCGCTTGTAGATTTTACTCTATGATTTCACCTATGCTACATGTGGCTTGTAGCCCATTCTCACGCAAGCTATTAAGTTACTGGGGTATGCCTGGGACTTTGTGGAAGCGATGGGCCAGAGGACGACAGCTGGTATCCAGTATTGCATGAGATTTAGGCAGAACCAGACCATCGATAGTCCGTCAACAGGCTACATCTATGGGATACCATGTCTTCGGCGTTGTGAGGCAATGGAGAGTGTTTTAGTGTGGGCCTTGTATTACATAGACAATGATCGTGGTTACACAATCTGAGACATACACTACTGGCAGTGGAGACAGGCTAGAGCTGCGGCCGGTTTGTAAGGTTCATGTGTTAATTAGGTTTATTCGTATTGTTATGTTTAATTAGGTTTATTCAAAAAGTTATGTACTTTAATTAGGTTTATTTGTATGGATGTTTTAATTATATTTGTATGCAAGTTAATTATGTTTCATTAGGTTTATTTGTATGGACATCATAATTATGTTTGTACGGATTAAAATTTAACTCGTGTAGCATTGAAATGCATATGCAAATAAAAAAACAGAGAAATAAAAACAAAAAGAATTAAAGGGTACTACCAACCAGGATTAAAGGGTACTTTGAATCCTAGTTGTAGTTACAAACCAGGACTTAAAGTCCCCCACTGCTCCCACCTACCACAGCGGTCGATCACCACTCATCCCAACTACCACCGCCGTTGCTCACACTTATAAACCGGCCACTCCGGGCGTCATTCATCTCCCACGACAACATGTAGTGTTGTGTTGTGCCCAATTCATTCATTGTTGTTTGCCTAATTTCCTATCCACATATCTGGCCTCTCTGTGGGAGAAATCCCTCCACATACAAATTTTATTACACGTAGTCAGCAATGATGCACACAAGAGGTATTAGAAGAATGTTTTTGAAGATGGAGTAACGCCGAAGCCTAGAGAAGCTAGGTGTGACTTCCGTGCAATGTAATTGTTGCATGGGCTGTCTTCTACGTTGATGGATCCATCAAATGTGGTGTGCTCTGAATTGTTTACAGATTGTCTATCCATGCAAGGCATGAATGGGCTGTCCACAGGTTGATGATCCATCCAAAGCATGAATGTACTGTCTTCCGAGAGGCATGGGTTCATCGGAGCTCGCGCAACCGCCCCCTTCGTCTCCAAATAGGTGTAGTTCGTCATCCACCTCTGGTATCCTCTGGCTCCTATTTGACCATACTTTGGTGCTAGAAAAATGTTTTTGAGGTGGTTATTCTATAATGTGTTGGTACATTTTGATTGTAACATTGACCTACTCAGAGAAGGTCTTTGTTATCGTATATGTAATTTTATTGTTAGGTCTTTGTTATCGTATATGTACCCCAAATATTTATTCTAAGGTTCTCTAAGATCTTTATTATTGCTTTCGATGTCACATGTGTCTCATAAATGACCTTGGATGGAGAAATGTCCAAAATAAAAGTTGTAGATCTCAAAAAGTTAAACAACTTTGTAGTTGCCAACTTTTTCATTTGAAGTCATCTTGTCACGGAAAACTTTGTTTGAATTTCTCAAATTTGAAATTTGAATTTTTAAAATGACCTCAAATAGAGAAATAACTAATATGAAAGTTGTAGATCTCGAAAAGTTATGCAACTTTATAGTTGACAACTTTTTCATTTAAAATCATCTACTATTTCAAAATTCTATTTAAAATTAATTTTTTAAAGAAGTTTGATTTTCCTTTTTAATCTCTGGCTAAAACTTGTAACTAATCTTTCTCCGTCATGCTAACTTGAAATTTGATGATTTTTTTCTAAAAATTTTTAAAATCATGCTCTATAAATTTATTGTGTTCTTACAACTTTCATTTTGGTCATCTTTTCATGTGAATTTGTTTTATCAATTTAAAATTTGATTCTTAAAAAAATGGTAACTTCAAACAACATTTTGAAGCGGTAAATGAATTCAGTTGGGAAATTCATGAACATAAAAGTCGTAGAACTAATCAAAATCTACAACTTTTATTTTGATCATTTCTTTATTCGACAAATTGGTAGTAAACATTGTTCAAATTTTACATGTCTCTCATATAGTTTATGACTATATGAGAGATATGTAAAATATGAACAATGTTTACTATCACTTTGTCGGATGGAGAA